GTAAGGTGAAAGAAGCCAGATACAAAAACCATATATTATGTGGTTCCATTTATATGAAATGTTAAAAGTTGGCAAATCTGTAGAAAGTTGGTTAGTGGTAGCCAAGGTACAATGAGAGCAATTGCTAAGGAGTATGGGATTTCTTTGAGGAACTTTGGGAACCTTTTAGAGTTAGATAATGATGATGGTTATTGTGCAGCCTTAGGAATTATATTATTTAAAAAGATGAGTTTTCACCCATACACTGGTGGCATATACCTGTAATCCTAGCTACTCAGGAGGCTTGCAGTTTGAAGTCAGCCCAGGTTGGAAAATCCACGAGACTAATCTCCAATTAACCACCAGAAAACTGGAAGTGGTGCTGTGGTTCAAAGTAGTAGAGTGCTAGCTTGAGCAAAAGAGCTCAGGGACAGCATCTAGGCCCTGAGTTCAAGCCCTGTGATCAAAAAAAAAAAAAAGCTGAGTTTTAGTGTGTGTGTGTGTGTGTGTTTTCTTAATTTTAAAAAGCCTTCCAGAATAAACAGAAAAGTAGAATTCTGGTTATTGGATGACCTTTGTCACCCTTGATTATGTCACCATTATCATCAACATATCTCACCCTTTATTTCTTCATGGGACTTGATCTAACTGGGGGAAGGAATAATAGTGGCTTGAATATTTTTTACCATTTGAAATAAATCTTATCTACCCTTTGGTCCCTCCTTTCCTACTTCTCAGTCTTTTTTTTTTTTTTTTGGTCAGTCGTGGGGCTTGAACTCTGGGCCTGGGCGCTGTCCCTCAGCTCTTCAGCTCAAGGTGAGAGCTCTACCACTTGAGCTACAGCGCCACTTCCGGTTTTCTGGTGGTTTATTGGAGATAGGAGTCTCATGCTCTTTCCTGCCCGGGCTTGCTTTGCCTGCGATCCTCAGATCTCAGCCTCCTGAGTAGCTAGGATTACAGGCTTGAGCCTGTTTTACAAAAACTACATCTACAGGTTGGATGCAGAGACTTATCTATAATCCCAGCTACTTCGGAGGCACAGACAAGAGGATACCAATTTGAGGCCAGATAATAAGACTCTGTCTCAAGCCAGGCACCGGTAGCTCATGCCTGTAATCCTAGCTACTCAGGAGGCTGAGATCTAAGGATCGAAGTTCAAAGCCAGCCCAGGCAGGAGAGTCCGTGAGACTCATCTCCAATAAACCACTAGAAAACCGGAAGTGGCACTGTGGCTCAAGCAGTAGAGCACTTGCCTTGAGCTGAAGAGCTGAGGGACAGTGCCCAGGCCCAGAGTTCAAGCCCCACGACAAAAAAAAAAAAAAAAAGACTGTCTCAAAAGAACATTCCTGCATGCTGTTGCATACCTCTGATCCCAGCTCTGCCAGAGGCAGAGGTAGGAGGATGTTGATCCAAGGTAGATAGACAAAAAGCATGAGACTCTTACCTGAAAAATAACCAAAGCAAGAAGGTCTGGAAGCACAGCTCAAGTGGTAAAGCACTTGCCTAACAAGCAGAAGGCTCTGAGTTCCACTCTGTCTCCTCCTATATCTGCTCACAAAGAACTTTGCTGGTTGAATATGTCTGCTCATGGCTAAGCCAGTTTTTTCCCCCTATAGGGACAAGACAAAAAAAGTCTGTCAAAATAAAGTCTTCAAATCACAAATACAGTAAATAGAAATAAAACGTTTTAAAAGGTGTTGTTTATACAAAGGACTTCCACTCATTTTGCCGTATCATTGTTAAATGACTCCATGTTCTTGACCATATATATGATATGTCTATGTACACATCTGAAGGAAGCTAGGAGGAGGACACAGAATCAGAGGGAAATGGGAAAACATACAACAGAAGGGCCCATCCGCTGCACTGGGCATTGAGGAAAATGACTCAAAGGCAGTGATTGGAGGGAGGGACTGAGAGGGAAAGAGGAAACAGGAAAGAAATATAAGTATCAATATTTCATAATACTGTGAAATATGTGAAATTTATGTAATCACCTAATCTCAGTAAAAATTTATTTCAAAAAAAGGCATTGTTTGTAGAAAGGTGATATGGTATCATTATAGAAAATTTGGAAAATTTATAGGAGTAGAGAGATAACATTATCCCTGTCTCCTCACCAAGAAACAAGTAGGTATACTGGCTGTACAATTTCAATCACGTAGAGAGGTCAGATTGGTATTTGTTTGATTTTTATATAGTAATCTGAGAAGGGAGAATTAAAATCCCATCCAATAGACTATCAGAACTCGGAGGAACCATAGAGGTTATCTGGTCCAATGATGAGGAAAGTGACACCTAGAAAGGTCAAGAGCCTACCCAAGACCACAGAGGAAGCGATGACAAATGAGGCATGACTCTGATCTCTTAACCACATTCCCTCCCTCATCCTGTGCTTTTGCCTCAGCACACATGTCTGAGAATGATAGCCTTTGAAAGTGGTTTAGAGCCAGTACCAGTGGCTCACACTTTTAATCCTAGCTACTTAGGAGGCTGAAATACAGAGGACTGGTTGGAAGCTAGCCTAGGCTGGTTCCAAAATAACATCTCCAAAATAGCTAGCAAAAAGCTGGGCTGAAGGCATGGTCCAAGTGGTAGAGCACCAGCCAAGCAAAGAAGCCAAGTGAGTGCAAGACCTGAGTTTAAGCCCTGGTAGGTGGGAGGGAAAATATCTCAGACCAGAGACTGCTCCTCTGTGAACTGTGGACCTGTGTAGGCTCTTTCACCAAGCCAACCTCTATTGAGGCCTTATGAAGCACCAGTCACCTCTCTTCTGATCCCTAGAAAGAAATGAGAGGCCCCATTGTCTTCCCTACAGAATAAATCCGAGTACAGAGCAGGGCCTTCTTCCAGCACCCCTTTTACTAAGCCTGTTCGCTGGGAAGCTTCTTGGGGAGTGGGGGGATGACCATGACAGCAATCTCTTTGCTTATCTTGGTTGTGAAACTCATTGAAATCCTACACATAGAACAAACTGGACTGTAGAACTTCAGAATCTGAGAGCAGAAATGTGGAAAACCAGTGGGATCCCAGAGCAGCTGTCCTTCAGAAGGGCTGGGGCAGGGATCTTCTAGTTCAGGTAAGTCCTGACAATCTCCATTCTCTGGAAGAAAAGTTTCAACATAGAGGTACTTCCTGGGATGGTAACTACTGAGGTCTCTCTAGTAACTGGCTTATCCCTAAACACAACATCAGTAGAGTGCTGCCCTGACTATTGAGATGGGGTCTGTTGAGGGCAAGAGAGGTGGGCTTTGTAATGCTCTGGGGTCTCTGAGTTCAAATTGAACAAACTCTGCTGACCAAAGCAAAACGATGACAATAGCAGAGCCTACTCACCTGCCACATCCCAATCTCAGTTCCTTTCTCCCCCCCTCTTCTCTGCCTCTCATAACATGCTCTAGTTCCACCCACCTGCTGTCAATTACTCCTGCAAAAAAAATGTAATTTATAGGGAACCCCCTCTCACTGAAGTACCTATGTTGTTTTAATGGGACACTATGTAAGGCCCAGGGGAATGACTCCAAAGCTATGGAAGATATTCTAAAGCAATCTTCCCTCTGGCACCTCATCCTCAAAGCTCCCCATATAGACAACTGCCATGATCACCTACCTTTTAAAGCCTCAATTTCTCCAGCAATAAAAAAGGAGCAGCAGAACCAGGTCATTTTTTTTTCAGATCCCTTCCAACTTTGATGTATGAGGTTTTAAGAGTTTTGAGATTCCACAGCATCCTGTATGGAGAGCACAGGGCCAGCCAGCCCTTGTTAGAAGGCAGCCTGTCTGTGGTTTGGCACCACTGCCCAGCAGGCATTTATTAAATCAGTGGGATGTGGTCCCTGCTGGCCTGGAAGAGAACATTAAGCTCCAAAAACTTCCTGCAGCAGGCCTCCTTTGGAGAGCGCTGCTCAGAGGGGCGAGGAACAAAACCATTTAGATCCTTGGCTGTGCTCCAAGATCCTTTTCACTAGTACTTCTGCCCTGTCTGCACGGAGAACCAGAGACTGGAAACATCTGGAAGCCTGTTCAAGACCTGGGCAACTTCTCTCTCCTTTCTTTGGGGGTGACCGTTCTTGACTCTGGTAATCCAGGTTGACCTTTGCCAATGCCCCTTCCTTTCCAATCTTCTGCACTTCATTGGGCAACAGCCCTCTAATAAAACCCACATGAATCCAGCTGCTAACAGCTTCTGGAAGGGCTCTAAGACCTAACACCTGCCTCTGCATTCCTTGAGCCCTAGTAGCAAGGGAAAAGAGGGCTGAGACACAACTCTTGCACCTCTGGGTCTTACAGTGGAGTTGTAGAGAAAGGGAATAGACAGGGGTTAGAGAACTGGGGTGGGAAGAAACAGTGATGAAGAAAGTTGGCTGAAGGTAGGGAAGGCAGCTACAGGTGAGGACAACACAGTGACATGAGTCTGGGATTACCCTATTCCCAGTGACCTAAATCATGCTGACAAGACTCATCACTCTTGAGAGATAGGCCTGACTGAAAGGTCAGAGTTCATGACTTGCTGGTCTAAGATTGCATGTCCCCTCCCCTTCTCTGCTGTGACCCAGAGAACCCAAGTTTCCTTGGGTCTCTAATTTATTTAAGGAAACATTTACCGAGAATGTAACAAATGTGTATGGGGCTAGGGAAGAGATATATCCAGGAGTAGAACAAACTCACTTGGAAATCCTGACTACAGGTCACAGTCCTAGTGATATTAGTAAAGGGGTATGAGAGACTTGGGTTCCAGAGGCAAGAGGCCACCTTGGTAATGCTGGATCTCTCCTAGCCTGACTCCCTACACCTGAGCTTTTCTGGATGCAGGATTCTCCCTGGTTACAGAACTCTGACTCACTTCAGCTTTCTTCTTCCCACTAATGGCAAGAGTCCAAGGAATAAACAAACAGGTTATAAGGATAGGTAAGCCACTTGAGATTTATTTATAAAGATGCATTTACTGGGCTTGACCTTTTAAATTTTTTTATTTTTATTCTTTTTATTGTTATTATAAAGGTGATATACAGAGAGGTACCTTTTTTTTTTTCCAGTTTTACTCCTCCTTTGTTTTTTCACTCAGCTAAACTTTTTGCTTCCTCTCATCTGAGTACGGACACAAGTCTACTAACCTATCTGCTCTTGGCTGTAACAAGCCCAAGACCAGAAAAATCTTTCCCCAGGCTAGAGGATGGGTTCACCTCAGAAGGCCCTGGAGGATGCCATGGAAGCAAATGACTGCTCCAATCCGCTCAGGTGGCTGTGGAGCACAGAAACTGGTGTCCTTCTTGGAGGGCTGCCTTCATCTCCTTGAACTGAGCCAACTGGCAGGCCTCATCCAGCCCCAGCCAGCGGTAGGCTTGGTGCTCATGGGAGAGGCGGATCTCCACATTGTAGTCTTTCACTTCTGCCAGCCAGTAAATGACTGTTTTAGGTTTCTCCCTGGCCACATAATTGAGCTCCCTTCTGAACCCTTCAATGATGGTCAGCTGGCCTGCTTCTATGCCTGCTTCTTCTTGAGTCTCCCTCAGGGCTGTTTCCAAGTCATTCTCTCCTGGGTCCACATGGCCTGGTTAGGAGAAAAGAAGAAAAGATGAACTCTTCAACAGTATTGGGTTTTTCTAGGTCAGATGATTTAAAGATAGAGTCTTCGGTGATTTTTTTCCTAGGTGTTCCTGGGTAAAGGAAGTCTGGAGCTTGACCATCTCCTAATGTGCCAGGGTAAGGGTGCAAGGCACATAGGATCTTGATTTTTGGAATCTGAGCAATCCCCTTTTCCCACTCCATGTGTAAGCTGTGTTTAGAATACTGCTTTTTTGATGGTGATATGGCCTTTCTCAGAACTCTGCTTCCTTATTCTTTGGAGCTTTCTTCCTCTCGTTCTCAGGGACCATTTTCCCCCTGGACACCTTAAGGCAATTTTTCCAAGGATGGGTGGACACTTCTTGGCAGAGAGAGGACGGGGGACTAGCTGAACAGGGAGTACTTCGCATACAACCCAGTGAGGACTTAACACTGACTAGAGTTGGACCCTGAAGCCTCAGGGCCGATAGACAGGCTCAAAAACCCCGCACTGCGATGCCAGCAGCTGTTTCCAAGTAGCCATCAAGGCTTTTTTCAAATTGTTTTCATCTTTCTAACTGAGGAAGGCCAGATTTCAGTTTCATAGGAAAAGTCCTGATGGGAACTTAGACTAGGGACAAGCTGAGAGCCAGTTCTAAGAAAATTTACTGGCGAGATCCAATTCCAAACTGCCAAAAAACTGCTGTAGGAGAACTTGAAGCTCCGCAGACTGGAGCAGCGCCTAGGCTTTTCCCACAAATTCCTTGCTTGCCCAAAAGGGCCTAGAACCACTGGGGAAGGTTCTGGTAACCTGTCTGCTGATGGCTCTGGCAAGTTGTTGGTATCTCCTGGCTCAGGAGCTCTTGGGAAACAGGAAGTCTTTAGCTATTTCCCTCTGAATTTGGAGATGGAAATACAGCCTTAGCAGTTCTCCTTTCCAGAGATCTGCAGAGCAGTGCCTTAAGTTAGTTGCTGTTGGACAGAAAATATTCAGAAACTTAGCTCTTGACTTTTTCTAGCTAATGGCTTCTGAGGACTTTTCTCTGCATATCATCTTTTATAGTGTACATAAAGACAACTAGGTAATGCACTGAGGAATGTGGCAGGTGACACTGATTGAGAATACTCTACCTTCTTTTAGGTGTGTGGGAGTCTCCGGGCACTGCTCTCCCAGTAGCACCAATTCAGTTTTCTGCCCATCATGATAACATGTCAACTTCTCTCCAAACCCAAGCAAGAAAGATTAAGAGAGGTCCTTTGACATGCAGTGTGACTTGGATGATCAGGAGATAAGTGTGAATATTTCTATTCATAGCATTTCTGACACTTCTACCTCTTTTTCACCTTGTTTCTCCTCAGTGCAATTCAAATGTGTAAAGATTTATTTTCTGTTAGCATTTCCTTGTTTTCTTCCAACCTTAGATCTTTTCCCATTCCCCCTGATCAAACTCTCTTTAGGGCTGGGAAGGTGGCTCAGTGGTAGAGCACTTGCCTTACATGCATGAGGCCCTGGGTTTGATTCCTCAGCACCACATAAGCAGAAAAGGCCAGAAGTGGTGCTGTGGCTCAAGTGGTAGAGCGCTAGCCTTGAGCTGAAGAGCTGAGGGACAGCGCTCAGGCCCAGAGTTCAGGCCCCACGACGGACAAAAAACAAAAACAAACAAATTCTTTTTAGTTTGGGGGCTGTTTGCTTTGGGCTTCTCATTTCTGGGACTTTGTGCCAGAGCTACAGAGTGTTCCTGCTCACTGGGACCATCCCAATTACTTCAGCCAACAATGGCTTCTTTTCCCCTATTTCTCCCCACATGGCCTGACCTATTTTTCAAGATTGTTTGAGGGAATATTTCTTTTCTTTTTTTGGGGGGGGGTCTGATCGTGGGGCCTGAACTCTGGGCCTGGGCACTGTCCCTCAGCTCTTCAGCTCAAGGCTAGCGCTCTACCACTTGAGCCACAGCGTCACTTCTGACTTTTTTTTTTGCTTATGTGGTGCTGAGGAATCGAACCCAGGGCCTCAGGCATGCAAGGCAAGCGCTCTACCACTGAGCCACCTTCCCAGCCCTTGAGGGAACATTTCTTACTCTTCCTTAAGAAGGAAGGTGCTTATAAACAGATCTTGGCCCATGCTAAGGCCATAGGTCATTAGTCTTCATTGTTTTACTTTCTGAAGACCTGGCTGACTCTACTTGTGGTTTTGAGTGATGGACTCAGGGCATGGGTGGCTGCTCAAGCTGAAAATCCAAGGTCTCCTTGATCTTTCCCTTCTCCACTCCTGCAAGAGTATGAGTCCACAGATGCAGGGAACCTACCTTCTCCATTCTTCTAACACAAAACACAACTATGTTTAGGTGCACTCCAACAGTCATACTGAGTGTGTGGTTCAAAAGAAAAACAGAGTGAAGGGAACACTGAATGAGTATTCAAAGGAACCTGATCAAATTAAGTCAGAGGAAAGATTGAAAGAAAACTCAGGATTAAAAAAAAATCACTCTCTTCTCTGACACATGAAAAATTTAAAATCCAGAGAGGTGGGCACATAGCCCAGTCATGACTCACCTTCAACATCCTCAATTCCCAGCCCAGTGGCTTTTCTCTCCTAGCCAGTCATTCACCACAGGGGCTAGAACTCTGGTGAATGATACTCACAAAAACACCAGGTGCTGCTTCTGTCCTGGGATTCAGTCACAGAATTATATTTCCAGCTCTGCTCAGGTCTGGAGACGTTATATGTAGGAAGAATCAAGGGCTCCTGGTTACTCCACCCCTTCCTGTTCCACAGTCACTGGGAAACAAGCCTTGTAGGGGGGCCTGGCCGTGTAGAACAACACTTGGCATTCCTTCAAGAGCCAACCCCTTTGGTCTCTTACCTTTGGGAGGAGTCCAGTGATGAATGCCATCTGATGCCTGCAGCAGTAGAAACTCAATTGTACTGTTGTCCACCTTGGGAGTAAGACGTCTTCGGAAGATGATCAAGCCACAAGCTCTCAAGGCCATGGTCTATCTAAGAATGTAACAAGAGAAGTTGTGGGACACTGGGAATTTATACAAAACAGTGGGGTAGCACTCTGGTGTTGGAGAGTAGTACAGACTCACTAACAATGATCTCATAAACCCACAGAAAAATACAGCATGCCAGGGGCCAATGGACAGAATCCAGGAGTGAAAGACAGAACTTTGTGTATAACTACAGGACCCTGGCAAATACAATTAGTTAACGTGGCCTCTATTCCAAGCCTCCAGGTCTTCCTGTAAAACTCAGGACTTGTGCGTATTCAGGACTTGTGTGTATTTGTTACAAGACCAGAGAGCCTAGAAGTCAACCCACCGAAACAGGAGCGAGGATAGGAATGAGAGAGGTAGCCACTACATGTATTAGCATCAAATCTAAAGTCCTATTTCCCTTAGTCTATATCCTAAACCCCTGAAACAAAGACCCCAACAACATGGTTTCTGATGATTCAAAAGAATTACCTACCACTGTTTGGTATACCAAATGTTTTGTTTTGTTGTGCTTTTGAATATGTTATACATTCACATGGTCCAGATTTAAAGTACAAAAAGGCACAAGAATTAGGAAGTCTCTTTCTCACCCTCATAGAGGAAAACACGCATGACTGTTAAAAGCCTACATCAGGTTCTGCTTTGGTATGTATTTGCTGTGAATTCCTGTTCCTCAGTCTTCTTATCTGTGAGATGATAACAGTTCTATCTGAAAGGGTTGCTATGAGGATTATATAATTTTCTTAAATGCTCTAAAATACTGCCAGTCACATAGAAAGCATTCAATAGACTTCTAGATGTGTAGGAAAAAAAAAAACCTGAAGGATAAACCTCATTAATAGTGGTTTCTAGAAGGTGAGATTGTGGGAAGACTTATAATCAGCCATATAATAAAGATTTTCTTCCACTATAAAAAGTCAACAGCAACAACAAAAACAACAAAAGGCAAACAAGAGAAAAGAGTGTCTGCATAGCTGGTGGCTCATGCCTGTAATCTTACCTACTCAGGAGGCTGAGATCTGAGGATCACAGTTCAAAGCCAGCCTCGGCAGGAAAGTCCATGAGACTCTTATAACCACCAGAAAACTGGAAGTAGCACTATGGCTCAAAGTGGTAGAGAAAAAAAGCTCAGGGACAGCACCCAAGCCCAGAGTTCAAGCCCCATGACCGGTAAAAAAAAAAAAGAATATCTGCACGAGTGAAATTTCATTATATAATCAAGGACCACATATAATTAATATTGAAGTTTTGTTGTTGTTGTTGAAGGATTGACCCCGCCTTTTATACCCAGGTAAAGCAAAATACCGGATGCACTCAGATGTGCTTCATCCCAGGTGGGTCATTCTGGCCTAGGCCTAGCCAAAGTTCCTGTCATCCCAAGGCAGAACATTATTCCATTTGGGGCCTAGCCAAAAGTACCTGTCCTTAGTCCTCTCACTGTGCCTAGACCACAGTCTGTTTTTTCAAAACCTCTGTTTCCTCATGAAGACCCATAAAAGCAAGACCCCAACCCCACCTATCCGGCACACCTCCATTCCTGTGGAGGTGCTGTCCTCTGTGCCTCAGTAAACCGCCGTCACCTGTTTGAGATCGGTGGGGCCAGTTCTTTCACCTCCATTTTGTTCCTTTTTTTGTTTTGTTTTGTCGGTTTTGGGGCTTGAACTTAGGGCCTGGTCGCCATCCCTGAGCTTTTACCCAAGGCTAGTACTCTACCACTTTGAGATACAGCCCCACTTCCATTTTTAAAGGTTAATTGGAGATAAGAGTCTCATGGGGACTTTTCTGCCCAGGCTGGCTTCGAACCACTATCCTCTGATCTCAGCCCCCTGAGTAGCTAGGATTGCAGGCATGAGCCACTGTAGCCGGGCTCTTTTCTTTTTTGGTGCTAGTACTGGGGCTTGAATTCAGAGCCTTGAGCTCTCCCTTTTTGTTTTTTTTTGGGGGGTCCAGTTGTGGGGCCTGAACTCTGGGCCTGGGCGCTGTCCCTCAGCTCTTCAGCTCAAGGCTAGCACTCTACCACTTGAGCCCCAGCGCCACTTCCGGCTTTTTTCTTTTTGCTTATGTGGTGCTGAGGAATCGAACCCAGGGCCTCTGGCTTGCAAGGCAAGTGCTCTACCACTGAGCCACCTTCCCAGCCCCTCACTTTTTTTTTTTTTTTGCTCAAGGCTAGCTTTTGTTACAAAGCATTGACTCCTTATTTGAGCCCATATATTATTAAACTAAAAGCAGGAGAAAAGCTTGACATTTCTGGCTCCATTCTATATCTGTGTATTTTACTGAGTCTCTCCAGCAATCACCTTGGCTTCTAGGAGGACATGGGTCAATAACATCTTTATGTCAAGGGAATGAAACTACCTCTAAGGAAAAGGATCAACAGAGCCTCCCAGGACAAACCTACCACGCCCCAACACCTCAACAGAGGACAATTACCTATGATGATGAGGTGTGCCTGGAGCAGAAACCATTCTCTCCTGGGAACCAGACTGCTCCCATCAAGCCACTACAAAAGTAATGTCTCCCACAGAACTAGAACTGAGATAATGATCAACCAGGCCACATCTTGCCTGGGACTGTTTAGTGATATACATGCCTTTCTCCTCCTGCCCCAATTCTTTCCCTATTTAAACCTAAAGCTTATATTTATAGCTTGAAAGTGGGGCTAAAGTGCTTACTTTGCCTCTTTCCCTGGCATACCCATGCCACATGAATATATGTTTCTTTGCCATTCACCATTACTTTATTTTGTATTTTGGGGCAAGTGTCCAGACCAGACATGTGGAATCCCTAGAGCTGGGCCTGTGGCCTAACTCCACTTTCAACAAGGGAATAGCCTTGTAAGACTATATTTTGGCGGATGCTAGTGTATAAAGGTTTCCCCATCTAAGAACCAGACAAATCAAGTTTATGTCAACAGGATGAGAAGAACTAGGATCACCCACGGTGAGTTCAATACTTCTAGAAGGCAAAACACTGCCCTTTCAATTGCTTGGGAGTCTGCTAAAATTCCTCCAACCCCCACTTTGTACATGCAACTTCCTTCTTATCCCTTTAAAGTAGCTCAATCTATGAAGCCTTCTAGCTTCTAATCACTCCATAAACTTCTACTACTAATTAGGGTTCAATCAAGAAACAGAAGGCGATGGATAACAAAAATGTAGATGCAACTCACATCTGTCACCTCTACATCTGCTGTTGGGCCTGAAGTCTCTATATGTATGTGAAACGAACAGCTGAGAGAACAGGCTGGACGTAGAGTGGAAGAGAACGAGACAAACTGGAGCCCGTCAGCAAACTGGGAGCTATAAGGACAACTGAAATTCATAAAGGAGGAAGAAAACCAGAGACTTCCATTCAGTCTCCAGGCTCACTGACAGAGGTGACAGACAGGAGAAGCTTGAGTGCTCTCTCAGAGCTAAATGCACATCTGACCTAGGATTCAGAAGAATTAAAGGGAGAAGATTGCACCAGAATTGAAAGAGCTTTAGACCTGGAGGCCATCTTTTATTGGCAAGGAGAACCAGCAGACCAGTCTCAAAGTATATGACCTGGCACTATGCCACGTGCCCAGCTCTGTCCTTCATAGTGTACTGGCTACTATGTCACTTCAACTTCCCAAATCTTGCACAAAATTTTCTGTGGTCATTACTAACGGGGAACCATGTCAGAGAACATTGGGAAACATGGCTCCAAGCTAGCTAAAGTAAAACAGTACAAAGTCACCATTAGGATGCACAGCATAGTGAGGTAAAGCTGTTGGTACCGCTGGCAGGAAAAAAAAAAAAAAAAGCCAGACTATGAGTTCTGTTTCTTTGGGACCCAGTACAGCAGCTCTCAACAGATGTTCATTGACTCAACAGAACTCTCTCCCAACCTCCTACTCAAACAAATGTTTGAGTATGTTCTGGGGCCCTGGGAAACAGCCCAGTGTTTTCCTGAAGAGTGCCATTTGCATAAAAGTCAATGAAGCCTTGTTGGGGGTTTTTGGTTTTTCTGGAGATCAGGGAGCTGAGACTGTCCAGGGATTTGTATGTAGCCAGCTTTCACACACAGGCTCCAAAGTAGATTCAAACCTCAGGGGGTTAAAGAACACAGCATCCAATATGCAAATGTGCCTGCAGCCAGGATTGCTGAGGTGAGAACTCCAGGCTGACAGCAGGCAATTCACACTTCAGAAAAGTGGCAGAGTGCCTGAGGTGGTTAGAAAAAACCTGAACAAAACAACCCTCAATGTCATCAGAAGGTTCCAGAAGCTAAAGAAAAGTGCTCTTGGCTTTATAGATAGAATTCTCCCACAGCCTAGGAGGTTATGCTGATGTGATTCAGTGTGTTTATCAAGTTAATCAGAGTTCCACTGAAAACACAGCTCAACTCCAAAGCCCTGACATTTATTTATTTATTATTGTTCCAAGGATTGAACCCAGAACCTTACACAGATTAGGAACGTGCTCTACCACTGAGCCACACCCCAGCCCACAAATACATTTTTACATACAGAATTTCTTTCTCCCTACATTCCTCATAGTCTAAAAATCTCTTTAGGTACTGCTTCACTACATAATGTTATCAAGTATCAAACTGTCAGCTACATTGTACAAGGTTTTAGACTATTGTTTTTGGTTTGTTTGTGCCAGTTTTAGGGCCACCTCCCTTGCCTTATTTTGCTCAAGCCTGGTGCTCTACCACTTGAGCCATACCTTCACTTCCAGCTTTTTCTTTTTTTTTTTTGGGTCCGGTTGTGGGGCCTGAACTCTGGGCCTGGGCGCTGTCCCTCTGCTCTTCAGCTCAAGACTAGAGCTCTACCACTTGAGCCACAGCACCACTTCCGGCTTTTTTTTTTTTTCATTTTGCTTATGTGGTGCTGAGGAATCAAACCCAGGGCCTCAGGCATTCAAGGCAAGCGCTCTACCACTGAGCCATCTTCCCAGCCCAGTTCCAGCTTTTTCCTAGTTAATTAGAGATAAGATTCTCATGTATTTTTCTGCCTGGGCTGGCTCTAAATTGAGATCCTCAGATCTCAGCCTTCTGAGTAGCTAGGATCACAGGCCTAAGTCACTATATCCAGGGCTAGGATGATTGTTTCTTTTCTTTTTCTTTTTTTGGTCAGTTATAGGGCTTGAACTCTGGGCCTGGGCTCTGACCCTCAGCTCTTCAGCTCAAGGCAAGCGCTCTACCACTTGAGCCACAGCGCTACTTACGGTTTTCTAGTGCTTTATTGGAGATAAGAGTTTCATGGACTTTTCTGCCCAGGCTGGCTTTGAACCATGATTCTCAGATCTCAGCCTCCTGAGAAGCTAGGATTACAGGCATGAGCCACCAGTGCCTGACAGGACTATTGTTTTTAATGCTCAAGACAACCCTTTAGGGCCAGACTTGATGGTACATTGTCTTCATCTCAGCACTTAGGAGGCTGAGGCAGGAGATCTTGAGTTCCAGGACAGCCTGGACTATATCTCAAAACAGACATGGAAAAAAAAAAAGACAACCCCTTAAAACAATCATTATTATATTGTTTATGATGAAATTGAGAGACTAGGAAGGTTAAAATACTTGCCTAAGGGCATAGCTGAACTGTACATGGATCTGAATCTAAATCAATCTAACTCCAAAGTTTGTATTTTTTTTTCATTTCCTTTTCAAAATTCCACTCATCTTAAAGACAGGATTTAAGAGACAAATGACCCTGAGGGAAGACATACAAATGATTTATAAAACCACTTCCAGTTTAAAATTTACTAGGCTTTAATCTGTATTCATCTGGAGGTTGTTTAAGATGTCTGTCTGGAATCCTTTACACCAAATACTTTTTTAGGTGGGAGGATGGAACACTTATAAGATCCTGTTATCCTGTTATTCCAGATGATTCTGGAAGCACAGTCTAAGGCCCTTAAAGAACCTATCTAACAAGGGTTTCAGTGACTCCACTGATCTTCTCTGGGAAATGGGAAACTAAACCACCTGTTCAAAGCCATTTCCAGTAGCCTGGGGATTTGCAACAAGTATTGGGAACATCCTTGATGCTACTCTTGGGAAAGCATACAAGCATCTAACTTAGGGCTCTGATGTCCAGAAAATTTGTCTAGGCCATTCCAGCATGAGGAGGAAAGCCAGCTTGGCCTGTCCACAAGCAACTCGCATGATTACCTCAGCTTTTCCCAACTTCACAATTCTAAATGCCTTCTTTCCAATTTTCCAGTTTCAACCTTTCCTATATAGGCAGTAATGAGGCATCCACCCATAAATAATCTTGTAACAATAAAAGCAGAGAGAAGGAAAAAACAAACCCTAACTACATAAAGAGAGGAAAAGAAAATATTCCCTTTTGTGTACCTTTCCTTGGACAGCTGCCACTGCCTTGTCCTCACAGAGACCAAGCTTGCTGAGTCATTTTGCAATCTTTGCTATTTGGTTGAGGGAGGAAACAGGAGATTTTACCTATAATGGTATAATGGCTTCTAGGATAAGGCCAAAGTCAGGCAAGGTTGGAACTTTTTTTTTTCTTAAGCTAAGATTTGTTAAGTGGACTTTTGGTGCCATCTGCTGTTCAAGTCTAGAAAGCAACTTTGGGGAATTCTAACATTACAGCCTGAAGGGATTCCTTTACTCCTGGGTCTGTTCAGTGCATCCTGTGTGACATGCAACATGACACAATTGAAGGATAGATATGAAGATGAATCATACTATAAAGCTCTCATTTCCTAGAGATTCACAGTCTAGTAAGAGTGGAAGGCATTCAAACAGCCAAGTTGTTGTGCCTTGTGAATCACAGGGGTATCTGTAAGATGGAAAGATAGCGAAGAAGGATCTTTAGGTCAATGATGTACCCCATAAGTATTTAGAAGGATGGCAAGGAGTTTTTACCAGGCAGAACAGAGGTGGTGGCAAGGAGCACTCCAGGCGGAGGGAGGACTTTGTACAAAGACCTTTCAAGCAAAAATGATATTCCATTGCTGCAAAGCTTAGTTTATATTCTGTAGGCAATGGGGCCTTTGGTTTCAGGCAGAGCTATAATTTGGTCAGACTGACATTTTACAAAGACATTTTGGCAGCAAGCAAGGTGGAGAGCAAATTAGAAGGAAAGATTGGAAACAGTAAGACCAGTTACAAGCCTCTTTCAATGGTCTACTTGACAAATGATATGGAGTTAGATGAAGACAGATCCTACACGAAAGGAAAGTAAAGGTGAATTTAAGGGATATTTCCAGCAAAAGTCAGCATTCAGGAGGCTGAGGCAAGTTCAAGGTCAACTTGGGCTCCATATGGACTATCTATCTCCAGATAAAAGAAGGGAGGAAAGGAGATATCTATCCACCACAGGCATTTCTGCAACTCACCTCCCTCCGGTTTGGGTAAGTCTACCTGTTCAACGTGCCCTTGCAATCTGGTATTCCAATCATTTTCATCAGAAATAGCATAGTAAAAAGTATGGCTGGTTTTGCAATGAGAAAGACCAAGCCACTGAATTTAATTAGTTACTTGCAAGATCATACTTATTTTTAAAATGCAGATAACACCTACTTTTATGGTTGTAGAGTTTAAAATAAATTATGTACATATGGATTCTATCCTATCAGAGGTACTGAACATATTCAAATCACTCTTATTCTTGTACCATAGAAGGTCACCGGAAAGCTTCTGGTTAATTATTTTATTTTCATAGTGCAAACACAATATTTCAACCTAAAAGTTTGTTTTAATGGCATATTCCTAGCTTTTACTGATTGACTCAAGAAATGGTTTTTCATACTTTCTGTAAAACAGATGGTAAACACTACTCACACTAAGTATATTCCTTATGAGTAAAGACCAACAAAATAAACTCATCACAATATAGATACTAGAAAATAATTATTTTTTCCACACGTGTGTGCGTGCGCGCATGCATGCACCAGTACTAGGGCTTGAACTCAGAGCCTGGGCACTGTCTCTTAGCCTTTTTCCTCAAGGCTTGTGCTTTACCACTTGAGCTACAAATCCCACTTCTGACTTTTTAGTGGTTAACTAGAGATAAAGAATCTCACAGGTTTCCTACCTAGCTGGCTTAGAACCACCATCCTCAGATCTCAGTCTCCTGAGTAGCTAGGATTACAGAAGTAAGCCTAACCATGTTTGTTCTTGATCATAAAGGGAAAACTTTTAGACAATTTTCAGTATTAAATATTATGATATTAAAAAATATTATCAGCCGGGCTCCGGTGGCTCACGCCTGTATTCCTAGCTTCTCAGGAGGCTGAGATCTGAGGATCACAGTTCAAAGCCAGCCCAGGCAGCCAAGTTGGTGAGACTCTTATCTCCAATAAACCACTAGAAAGCTG